TCAGGGCTCTCTGACGCTAGGGTGGATCACAGAGTCAGGACACTGCTGGAGACTGCTGCGCTTCTCTCTCTCCCCCTCTCACTCACAGAAGAAAGAAATAAATAATGTTTATAATGACTTGGCTGCATTTCTGATACAGTTTTTCCTAACATTTCTTTAGCATATCACTTTGTGATATTAGGTATTTTGCTTGTTGTTTCTTCCTATCAAAGCAAGGAGAGTGGTAGTAACATACTATTATTCTACGGGTGTTATCCAGATCCTCTGACATTTGATTATTTCAGGCTATTGGTCAAAAGCAAATCTCTATGGAGGAACGACTGATGATCTTGTCTGATTTTCAGTGCCTAGTAAGGGGACACAAGAATGGGACAGCAGCTTAGAAAGAATAAGATGAGATTTAGCCAAGGGAAACAAAAGAAAGAAAGGAGAGTCTCATAGATAATTTTCTCAGTTGGCTTTCTATCGATAAATGGGGAGAGGAAAAAAAAAAAGTAATAGCTGGCTTTTATTGGGGGAGGCTAAAAGATGGAAGTATCGTCATTATAAAGATGGAAGCAATTTTCTTTTTCATTGCGAATGACACAGTCCAGCAAGGAAATGATGCTTTCCTTAGTATTTGAAATTTAAAGTTTATACTTTAGTAATATGCTTTAGTGTGTCAGCATCTGAAGATCTCAAATTCTAAGAGGAATGGTTCAGGATATAAGGAAAAATGATATTCATTCATTCATGTATTCACAAAATACATACTGAGTGTCTCATATGTGTCAGGCACCACCAAGAAGGTAAGTATGCATAAAACAGATCTGGCTTATTGCCCTCACAGAGCTTACATTACTTTTGTGTATGTATGTGTTTGTGTGTGAATGTGTGGCGGGAGCTAGAGCAATTGAAAGCCAAGTAATAAATTTATGGTATTGCAGCTGATATTAGGTAATATGGTGAGGAATAAAGCAAGGATAGGAGACAGGAAATGCTGTCAAAAATGAAGAGAGATGAATGGATTACAATTTTAAATAGCATGGTTTTCTAAGTAAGAAGATGACAGCGGGCAAAGATCTAAGGGAGATGAGTGAATGAGTTATGTTGACGCATGGGAAGCATTCAATCACATAGTTATCAACCCCGCCCTACGTCTCTCATTGTTTATTCTTCCAGAGAAGGAGATGCTGTTGAAGGATATGCATTTGATTTGGTGTTATTCATTCCTTTCTCTGCTTCCCTATAACACATTCCTTTTAAACATTTTGATAAAACATTCTTTAAGTGAGAGGTTTTCTCTATAATATATACATTTGGTTTCTGCTCAGTAGTTAGAGCCTCGAAGTTATATCAGAAGTACCCGGAGTTTGCATATCAGTCCATTAGCTCAGCAGCAGAGCAAGGAAGAGAACTGTCTTCTGGTTTTCATCCTGGAGCTCTGTCTACTGGACCATCTCCATCCCCACTCAGTGAAGGATCTTCTGGCTGAGAGTGGTAATCATTGACAACTGTGCTAAGAGTGGGTCTTAAACGAACTTGAATTTGTTAAAAGTAGACAGATCCACAAGCTGCTAATTACTGAGGGCTAAGATGCTGGGCTACTAACGTTTTTCATTTAGTTTTTCAGTGTTTTTAATAGAATAAGTCTCTCAACAGTTGTATAAATCTCTTAACAGGATTACTGCAATAACCTACTTGGTCTTCTACCCTTGGCCCTCCTATACCCCATTGTCAACACTGTGGCAAGAATAATATTTAACAAACATATAAGTCAGACCATAGGTGTCCATCTTTGCTCAAAAAAAAAAAAAGGCACAAAAAGGGATTTTATTGTATCCAGGGTAAAATCCACGTTTCTCATAAAAATCCACAAGGCCCCATGTAATATGGCTTCTGTTGCAAACACATTCACCTTGTGCTGCTCTCCATCTTATTTATCCTACATATGGCACTCCGGGCTTCCTGACATCCCAGTCGGGTTCTTGCATAAGGATCTTGATCTCATTTGCCAGGTTGTATGACAGCTTCTTCCTCACTGCCTTCAGTTCTCCTTATGTAGGAAACCATGCCTGATCATCTTACAAATAACCACCTTCTACCCTCTAGCGCCCTCCCTCCTGTATTTACTCTCACATGTGCCCTTACATCACTCATCGCCACATGACATATTGTATATATTTACCTCTTCATGGATTCATTATTTCTTTTTCAACTAGAACATAAGCACTGTGAGAGCTCAAACCTTTGTTCCTAGCACAAGAGTGTCTAATACATAATACATGCTCAACCATGAAGAAAAAAGACAAATCAGTAGGTAAAAAATAAATGCCACTGGAATCAGAGCAGAGCAAAATGGCAAAGTAGGACTCATCCTCCCCACAGAAAACATCTATTTGATCAACTATCCACTCATGAGAACACCTTCACAAGAGCTAAGGGAACTAGGTGAGAGAGCACAGAACTTGGCTGCAGCACAATAAGAAAAGATACAGAGAGAGAGTAAAGGACAGTTTTAGATCACTTGCATCACTCCTGCTTCAACCCCAGGCAGCACAGCACAGAGAGAGTGTGTGTCTGCTTGTAGGAAAGAAAGGGAAACAAGTACAGAATTTTTCCTTGGACCCTCCAGCACTGGGCCTACCACAGTGAAACTTCACATCAGGTAGAGGCCCCATGAGCACATTTAAATTTTCCAGGCTGGTCCTCATGAATCAAGCCTCAAGACCTGCCCAGGCACCTGATAGGACCACAAAGCCTCAGTTCTCAGGCTTGTGTCATGAATCCAATTTCTGGCCAGCATCAGCAACCCCAGAAAGAGGCAGCCCTCAGTGGTCCCTGGCTTTGGGCACCTCAGTGCTATGCCTGCTGTAGTGGACCCCTCACATCTGATAGCAGGCACCAGTCACAGCTGTCCTGGGCTTCTGGTGTGTTCCTGTGTCTCTCTGGCTATATCTGCCCTGGGCTTCCATGCCTGCTGTAGCAGGCTCCATGCTTCCAGCAATGCTGGGCTGGCCACATCTGCCCTAGGTTTCTGGTGTGCCCCAATGCCATGCCTGCCACAGAGCTTTCTCAGATAGAACCACTCTGTAAAGACTGTTACAAAAACTTACTCTTTAAAATGTGCAGACCTTGGCTTGGAATCATAATAACTAAGAGCAATGAGGGAAACTTAACATCAGAAAACAGACAAAATAAGGCACCAGTGACTGGCCCTAAAGGGGTCAATTCAGCAAAAGGATATAATAAGTGTAAATAGATATCCAGCAAACATCAGGACACCCAAATTTATAAAACAAACATTAACAGATATGAAGGGAGAGTTAGACTGCCAGACAATGTTAGTAGAAGACTTTAACACACTTTAACCCTATTTCAGCAACAGACAGATCATCTAGACAGAAAATCAATAGGGAAACATTGAATTTAAACTACACTCTAGACTAAATGTCTCTAAAGAAGACAGACACACAAATGACCAAAAGGAATTTGAAAAAATGCTCACCATCTCTACTCATTGATGGAAATGTGAACCAAACCACACTAAGATATTACTTTATACTGTTAGAGTGAAGGCCATCAAATAGACACAAGATAAGTACTGATGAAGGTATGGAGAAAAGGAAATCCTTGAACAACTTTTGGTGAGAATGTAAATTAGTACAATCATTATGGAAAACAGTACATTGGATCTCCCTCACCCCATTAGAAACAGAGCTATCGTGGTCAGCAATCCCACCACATAATATATACCCTAAGGAAATAGATCAGCATGTTGAAGAGATACCAGCAATCCCTTGTTTATGGTAGCATTATTCACATTAGCCAAGATGAAGAATCAATGTCCTTCAATGGATGAAGGGATAAAGAAAATGTGGTGTTTGTACACAACAGAATATTATTCAGCCATTTAAGTGGCTAGCTTGTCATTTGCAGCAACATGGATGCACTTAGAGAAAACTACATTAAGTGAATTAAATCAGAGAGAGAGAGAGAGAGAGAGAGGGAGAGAGAGAGAGAGATCAATACCGCATGAAGTCACTCATGTAGAATCTTAACAAGTGATCGCATAGAAGTGAAAGCAGATTGGGGCTAGACTGGTTATAAGTGTGAGGATATGGTTTGGAACTACGTTGGTCAAAGGACACAAAAATTTCCAGTAGACAGGTGGAATAAGTCAAGAGATCTAGTGTCCAATATAGTGACTATAGTTAAAAATACACTATACTCTTGACTAATGCCGAGATAGTGGATATAGTGTTCTAATCACAAAAACAACCACTATATGAGGTGAGGCATATGCTCATTAGCGAGATTTAGTCCCTGATAAGGTATACATATACTTTAAAATATCATGTTGTCCTTTGTAAATTCATACAATTTTATATGTCAATGTACAAAAGAAAAAAAATGCCACTGACTAGACTTGGTGCTATACTCACACAAATAAATAAGGGACTTTACTTTTCTGATGACAACAAATTTTTTTAAAAAACTGTGTCAATATTTAAAAATGTTGACAAGGGTATGGAGGAAAACCACACTTGCAACACTGAAAAATAAATAAGGAACTTTACTTTTCTGGTGACAACAAAATTTTTTTTAAAAACTGTGTCAATATTTAAAAATGTTGACAAGGGTATGGAGGAAAACCACACTTGCAACACTGAAAAAGTACATATTAGCTATTGTTTAGGAATAATCTTTACAATAAAAAATTTCAGAAATGCAAATCCATAAGGCATGCAGTACAACCCATGAACATCAATATCCTTTAGAGAAAAATATGAGAGATTAAAAAAATACTCTACCTCCATTAAACACAAGATAGTATTTTTATAAACTGAATATATTTAAAGACAAGAAGAATATTCCATTTTATTATTGAAGTACTGCCATGCCAATAATAAAAAATTGAATGTAAGATTATAGTATGTTAAGATTTCTGCTTTATTTCCAATGGATAAAATGGTTTTTAACCATCTATCTTTGCTCAAGAAATGATATAGAATACTCACATGGAATTTTATGCAACTCATTCATGAACTTCTCCTTTAGCTTAGAAAAGGCATCTTCCTTCCCTTCTCCAGGACTGGCTGGCTCTGTGGCATTGTGTGGTACTACGGTTGCCACTGTGGTGACTGGCGGGGCTGCCAGGGCTTCGTGATGACTCTCGCTCACCATTGTAGGTTCAGGTGAAACTCTGAGGAAAGTGAAGCAAAGAAAGAACAATTCAAAATGGCGTAACTGATCTCATATCAAAGGTTTACCAGGTGAAAAAACTTCAAAGTTTGCACCTGCTCACTGGCTAAATAGTGTATCATTAGCATATTACTTTATGTTGGTTCATAAAATATTTATGGAACCTCAGCAAGAAGAGAATCCTTCCCTAGAAAGCAAGACCAGACATAGTTACTGAACAGCATTCTCTCCCAATATTTCTATGTAAACTGTCAAGTCTCTTAGATAATTAGATAGCTAATTATTTGCTGAGTAGATTTAACTTCTAACCCATATCTTTATCTGGTATAAAATGATTGCTGACAATATACATTCTCTATGCTCTAAATATTCTGTATGTTCCAAAAGGAAAAAAGAGACAAAATATTTCTCTCTTTGGAATATTGAAAATGTTGATAAGTGATGGGTATAAACAATACTGTTATAACATTGATATTCTAAGAAGTCATGAATGTTATATAAAAATTGGTTCTTGAACCTCCATTTATTGATGGTAACTTTGCCTCCCAGTCATTTTTTCTGACATTTACTATAGACAAAGCTCTGATCAATAATTCACTTGTCTTGCTGGGTGATTTTATTTGTCACCGTAAATGTGGCATGATTGACTATATATATCAAGGCACTACTGATGAAAGATGACTTGTATGTTTAATTATTTTAATTTATTTAGCTTCATATTATTAAATTATTTTATTAAATTAATTTGTTCAATTATTTTAAGTGTTTGTTTATCTCCCAAACACTCCAAACCAATTTATCTTCAAGGGAATCAATGAAAACATCTTAGCTTTGAATTAAGAAGACATCAGTTCTTGTTCTCTTCACTTGCTAAAGGAATATTGACAAGGCATTTGTCTTGTCATCTTAATTTATCTACCTTCTGAAATAAAAGAGTACTTCAAAAAGTTTGTGGAAAAATGGAATTAAAGTATGAGTTTATTCTGGTGCAAAATTTTTCAAAATCTGTGCATAATTATCTATAATATATCATGATATATGCTTTCTTTAAAAAAGTTTTTTTTTGTGAACCAGCAGTTAGTGTAATGGCTATGTCGCTGGACTCCCATGTAGTCGACCGCGGTTCGCGTCCCGGACCCGGTGGCTTAAAACTCACTCCGGGCGCGTGTGTGTGCGTGTCCAAAATCCTGAGAGGAGAATGGAGGAGAAGGGATTGCGGTGTGACCATTCCCCCTGGGGGGGTGATTTCTCACTTTCTGTCTCTCTGTCTCTCTCTGTCTGTCTGGCGAGCGCACGCGCCCTATAGCAAAAATCTCTCCAAAAAAAAAAAAAAGAAAGAAAAAGAAAAAGAAAAGAAAAAGAAAAAAAAAAAGGTTTTTTTTTTTTTTTTAAATTTGCTATGAGTGCACGAGTTTGCCAGCGAGACACACTGAGAGAAGGAAAGTAAGAAAGCGACCGCCAGAGGGGATGGCCATGCTGCATTCCTTTCTACTCCATTCTCCTCTCAGAACTTTTGGGCATGTATGCACATGCATCTACTGTGTTCTCAAGGTCCCAGGTCTGGGACTTGAACCAATACTAGTTAGATGGGATCCAGCTACCTTTACCACACCACCAGCTGATCCCATAATATGCTTTTTCTGTGAACTTTTTGAAGACTCTTGGTATGAAGAGCACTGAAACCTGCCCTTCCTGAAGTGTTCTTTTATAATATGTAGTGCTCTATAAAAGTAAGTAAGTTATTCTGACAGGGTAGAAATGAACTCATAGTTTTTAATCCTCCAATATTTTGGACTTTATAATTTTATTATCTGACTTAAGGTTTTAGGCTGCACTGATAATAGAGCGGGCATGATTTGGGGCAGAAATAAACAAGTGAAAAGAGCCCTGGGTAGCAGCGACTTCACAGTCTCAGCAAGAAAGCTGATAGCCTCATCTTTCATTTTCGAAAGAAGCAGAGGTAACCAGTAAACAGATCAGGAAATTTTATGGAATTCAAATCTGCTGTGATTAATTATGCCTACTTACATATTTAGTGAAAGCATAGTTGAAAGCACAATGTCAGATGCATGTGTTTTTAAAAATTTTTTTATTAATATTGTCATCAAAATGCAGAGATTTTGGTGTCCAGCCCCATAGCATAGTGAAGGGAGCTGGATCCCACATGGCAAACTGCAGTTTGAGGGACAGCCCCTGTGATTTGAAATATAAGCATGTCAGATGCTCCTACAATTGTGCCTCAAAATCCTGATAGGACAGAGAAATGGAGAAGGGATCGTGCCCCATTTGGGAGTGCTTCCTCCCTCTTGGTGCTCTTTGGTAAGTGAACATGCCCTTTGGAAATAATAATAATAACTAAAAAAAAGACAGATGCTGGGTCTCCTGGAAGGAGATCATGACAATATACATAGATAATCAGTTTTCACGTGATAATTGAGTAACTCTTTTTAATGCTTTTCATTTTCCAGTAGTACCTACTAAGAGAACCCTAAAGGGCAGAATCTGACAACTACAGGTTCCTTTTTAATGCTTTTAATTTTCCAGTAGTACCTACTAAGAGAAGCCTAAAGGGCAGAATCTGACAACTACAGGTTCAGATCTTCTCTTGTTCTTCAGTAAAATGACACTCATCATACAACATAAGGCTTTTATAACTATGAAATGAGATCATTTATGCAAAGAATTTAGCACAGTGTCTGTGCTAAGTTTGTTTTATTGATCCATCCATCCAACCATTCATTTAAACAACACTTGGCAGCTCAGAATTTTTCAGAATGTGAAAACTTTTTATTTTATTTTTTCCAACTCAAGGTCACTTTCCAGAAGCTTTTTCTGATATTCTGAGGCTGTTTAGCTTAGGTGTTTGTCTCTGCAAAAACTTGGGAGTCTCTGTACTGCTGCAAATTTGGGTGAAACTATTGATATTGATGATGCCATAACTTTTATATTTCATTTCAGACTAAAATTACACACACACACAAACGTATACATATGTATGAAATATTAGTATGGATATATTCTAAAAACCAATTTGTTCTTCTGCTGTGAGAATTACCAAATATGGTGTACCTTTTTACTTATCTCTACAGGATAGTTGAGAATATTTGAGAACTATTTATGACTTACTGTGTGATTTAAAGGAAATGACTAAGCTACATTCAAACAGCTAAATACAATACTAGCATCATTAAATTAAAGGCATCCTGTCTGTGTTTCTACGTATTATTTGTTCAGTTCTGGACATACGATATTGTTACTGTCATTCAGAAAGACATTTAGCTGCTACCTTCAAGTGGTTACACAGTTGTCTCAAGTCTTTATGTGTACAGGTAGATGGGTCCTTAACCACTTGGATAGTTAAATATTTTCCATAATCCCCTAAGATATTATGAAATGTAAAACATTGGTTTATGTAATTTGAATGATATAAATGACTATGGAAACTTTTGCTAAATACAGTAAACAGAAAATGTGCTTGAAAGTAACTTTTTTTCCAAGAGCAAAAATGGTTTCTATAATTTTCAAAAACAATGATATTTAGCTATAAGTATCCCTGTAAGGTTTTCATGAAAAATTTAAAGGTGATAAGATTTTAATTCTTGCCAGCCAATGATACCATCACTATTTTTTTTTTTTTTTGAGAGAGATTTTTGCTATGGGGTATGTGTGCTTGCTGGAGAGATAGAGAGATAGAAAGCGAGAAATAATCCCCTAGGTGGGATGTCCACACTGCAGTCCCTTCTCCATTCTCTTCTTGGGATCTTGGGCATGCATGCACATGAACCTGGTTGAATTTTTAAGGCATTGGGTCTGGGACTTGAACCACGGGTGCCTACATGGGAGTCAAGCAACACAAGCATGATGCTGTCTGTTGGTCCTCATCCCTACCATTTTTAAATTAAAAAGAAAAGAATGTAAAAAAATATAGACAAGGCTCTTTTTTCTTAGAACATACCACTGTGAAATTTTTCTTTGCTTTTTTTTTTTTTTTTTTCCTGAGAGGTTTTTGCTATAGGGCATGTGTGCTCGCCGGACAGAGAGAGAGAGAGAGACAGAGAGAGAGAAAGAGAGAAATCACCCCCCAGGGGAGATGGCCACGCCGCAATCCCTTCTCCTCCATTCTCCTCTCGGGATCTTGGGCACGCACGCACATGCACCCGGCGTGAGTTTTAAGCCACCGGGTCCGGGACTCAAATCACGGTTGACTACATGGGAGTCCAGTGACATAACCATTACACTAACTGCTGAAACTACCACTGTGAAATTTTAAAAATCTTTTATAAAATACAAAAATATAATGAACAATTAATGATTATGTCACATTTTAGTTTTATTCCTTCATAGCTTAAGAGAGAATATTACTTTTAAACAACAACTTAAGAATAGTAACATTGATCTTTAAAATGAATATTTATGGAAATAAAATGCTCATTAAGAAATATCATTTTGTAAATGAAAAACTAGCTGATTATTAAATCCTGGTTAATGTGATGACTTCATATTCTTTTATATACATTAGGCACATAGCAGTTTTTGCTTATTCAGAAAATATTTATATTCTACTTAAGTCTCGATAAAATAACAGTTAACGGTTTCTGCGTAGCTGCTAAGTGGTTTATATTAAAGCATACAGTTCCCCTATTGTCCAGGTATGATTGTTACCCATTTCATAGACAAAGAAACTAAGGCCAAGGGAAGTTGTACAATTAATTGGTTCAAAGCCATACAGCAGTAATTAAGGGAGTTGGGATTTGAACCTAGTTGCTTAGTCACTATACTACAAAGGAGTTTGTATTATAAGACAAGTATCGAATGAAATTGTGCTTTTTTTGGAAGGAATTTTGGATATAGTCCATAGTATGAAGCATATTTCACACTGCATTCCAGTGCATCTTTTCTGTCTGAATATTATATACTGACAAAAGTTTCACATGAAAATATTTTTCTTTATTATGTGTGCAATACTCTGATATATTCAATTCTACTTGGTTATTTTCCACT